CTATCGAACAAACCACTTACTTGCAACCAATTAATGCTCCTGTTGTCCAACAAGTATCTAGTCAACTTCCACAATATGTTCCGAATCAAAATTGCCAACAAACAGAACAAGACAATTTTGATAAAGATGTTTTGAAGGTGATTATCATTGGATACATTGTTGGATGGTTATTCCCTCCAGCTTGGGTTGTCGAACTTTTCATGATCTTTGTTCCTAATAAAACATACAAGATGTGGGGATACAGAGCTCTTTCTGCCCTCTTTTTCTATTTGTTTGTGCAGTTCTTGACATTTTTCATATTAACAAACATGAGATATGAAAACTGTCTGAGCCAAATAACAGGAAATTAATTTGGTTTTCTTTTAATTTTTATTGTTTGAATTAATATATTATTTTTATATTATATAAATCGATAATTTTAAAGTTTTTGTTATCAAAAACAACATTTTAATTCAATTCTACAAGCATAGACAATTAATTCCTTTTCAGAACAATTTAATTGTTTAAATTGTTCCTTTATTTTAAATGTAACCTTATAAACAAATATAATAATATTTTTTGTTGTTATATTATTAGTGTAAATGAAAGTAGATATAAAGTAATTATAACAACAAAAGTAAAAAGGTATTATTTATATAAATTATCAAAATTTGATATCGATCGGTATCTTTTTTTTCGAAAGTGTGTATTACAAAAATGTAAAAGTATAAACAAATAAATTTATCTAAACAGTTCAACTGTAAAAAAAAACAAGGCTCATCATAATTACAAATAATCAACTCTAATACAATTATTAATGAAAAGATTAAAACCAATTTTGTGCGATATTACACATGCCTAATAATAAGATTGATTTTTATTTAAATAACTATCAAATAAATATTTATTATCACATTTATTTGACAAAAAATGTTGGGATCTTCCTTTCCCATTTTCTCGCCGTTTTTTAAATTTGGTATTTGCCACAACATTTTTAAGTTAGATTACCTCTCGATATCCACCAATTGTAATTCAACATTTTTTAATAGGGAAACCGATTCAATTATCGATACAAAGGTATTTTTATTATAATATAAATTGAAATATTATTTAAAATAATAAATTGATTTTTTTATTAAATTTTGTTTTAAAAATGTTTTTTATATTTTCTAATAAAAATAATAACCTCTTGAAAATTAAAATAAAAAACTATTATTTCAAAACTACCTTTTTT